CTTTTTACAATTTGAGGTTGCCTATTGAATCACATATTTTTATGAAATTGTTTATAGAGTGAAATATTATTGTCATACATAATTCAATCTTTGAAACAACAGAAACTAACACATAATAATGATAATCAAATTTGTGTTTGAAGTTCGAAAGTAGTTGCGTTATTTCCGGTTTCAACTAGTTCGAAAATAGAACGTCCTTGAGCGTGTGTAGAACTCCATCCGAACCAGACTCTAGCAGCGTAAAAACTTATTGCAATTTGGGCCCAGTTTGTTCTTACAAGTTTTCTAAGTTTCATTTATCATTATTTAGTAAACAGGTCTCTGAAACGATTTAATATATCCGTAAAATACGTGGAAATCTACGATTGACTTCGAAACGTTCGAAATTTCGAACAAACTCCCGGCACACCTAGCGCGATATGCGTCAGATCGGTGGAGAAGACGCCGAACTGTGCAGCGTCAATGCTTCGCTGGTTCCCGGCGTCCTTTGCGAATGGCAGGTAGGACGCAGGTAACTAGTAATCGCCTTATTCACGTGCGCCATATTGTTCCATTTGGGCCGGCCTCTTGTGGCTTGGTATGCCATGACACTTGAGGCGGGAACCAGCCAAGTATATACAGTGCACTCCCTGTAGTCACGCAATCTCCTTCCCATGGGTCTTTGCTCTTCACGCGATAGGGCACAGCCATTTTTTCCGCAGTTTTTTTTTTTTACCTGAAAACGTTCGATAAAAAGTAGAAAAAAATGTTTGTGACAACCTAACTATTTATTAATATCTGACTTCTGTGAAAACGTAAATACGATTTTTTTTGCACAGACTACGTTGTGCAAGGTAATGTTACTGTAGTGAAATGTCGCACCGTGATACACTAAAACTGAGGGAAAATAGCGTTCTGTTTACGTAAATAGTAGGAAAGAAACATCAAGCACTGATTCCACTCAGATTGATTTCCTAACATCTCCATTTATTCTGTTTTCTGGTGAATATTTCAATATACATACTAGTAGTTTCTGGTTTGAACGGATTCGAATGTTCGCGCCTAATAATCATATAACACAAAGCTTCTAGGTAGTTTATAAATTTAGTCATTTATTGCATTATCTAATGCCTTGACAGTTTTCAAAGAACTGCACTTTTCTTTTCTTTTCAAACTGTGCTTACGATTAGGGCGTAAAAACGCCACGGTGTTATTTAACTGATCAAAGTAACTGGGTGATTTCAACATAACTTTGTTAATCGACAATAAAAAACACAATAAAAAAATAATCATGTGATATTCCAAACAAGATTAATTTATTTAAGTGGGATTTATTGATACCGATAATTTACAACGTAACCCGTAATTTTTGCATGATTTTTATTTTTAGTCAAATTATTAAGTGTGTACATGTAGGAGTAGCGTATATGTCATACTACAAGCTTCAGTACAATGATATATTTAAAACAGTTGATTCAGTATTTATTCTATTTTTCTCCATTTCCGTCATTCACTTCGAAATACCCGTGCCGCATATTAAATACGAGACTGTAGTCAGTGTGTAGTAATCTAAAAAAAAATACAGTTTCCATATAAAAATCTGCACAAACTGTATACAAGGGCAGCCTATAATCCATGGGTTTTAATGCGAGATTTTGCAAAACCTCCGTCGGGCTGAAGTCCTCGGAAAACGCATCAGTAGAGACCAAAAAGTTTCCGATTGAGCCTGTTTCGACGGATACATTATTTTCAACGATGAATTACAATTACAATGATTTAAAGATGCAATATTATCGGACTGTGATTTATCATGAACTAACCAAACAAACTATTAAACTGCACCCAACAAAAGTACAACTTATTTATGATACAATTCTAGATGAAATTTGTAGGTTAAAGTTTATTTGTGTTTTTGGACGAACTTTAAGTTGCGTATTTGACAGTATGGTTATTCGTGCCCCAAGCGCTGGAGATTGTAATGTTCCGCCTGCCCGGTAGGATAATGCTACACAAACTAAGATCGCATGGCCAGTTAAAATCGTGCATTAATCTTTTTAAGCAACCGAAAACGGGAGTTACGTACGCTGATCGCCTCGCCAAATTAACAGGACTGAGTTCAATCAGGAAGAGTGCCACACTGTCAGTTCATCTTAAGCGACAAATCGACCAGGCTGAGAAGTGCAAGAAATACATTGAACAATGGCATGAACCATGGAGCTAAAAAACAGATCTTTTGATGAACTGAAAATGGCGCCAGTCAGGTGATTTTGTTTTATTTACGACATTAGCTATAAATAGAGTGGGCGTTTGATTGACACTTGCGTCACACTTATTTATTTATTTACTTATTGACACTTACACAATCCCCGGAGGGAAAGAAAATGGTCACAAAGTACAAGGAGAAATATATATATAAAAAACAAAACAAAAACACAATATACTAAATAACAAATACAATCACTAAATTACTAAATAATACAATACACAATCAGCGCTACATCTATTTTATAAACGGCGCACTCACTTCCGATAGCAGTCAGACTGGAGTGTTGTTTGTGTAGCATTATCCTACCGGGCGAGCGGAACATTACAACCTCCAGCGCCTGGGATGGGTTATTTGCTAATTGCGCCCTAAATGGTTTTAAGTTTATATGTATTCATGACAAAAGGTTTGCTTGTTTTCAAATTAACAGCTACCATCAAAATGTCTAACATAAATAAACATAACAAAGCACAGGACCACAACTTTAGTTTTGGCAAAACATATGTACAATAGGCTGTATGCTTGAAACTGGCAGGCTACCTTTAATTACAAAGATTCAAATTCAAGCTGTCATGTATTAAACTACCAAAACATTAAAAACAATGGTTCAATTAATTTTAACTCCCATGCAGTCAAAGAACTTGAAAACAACTGCTATAGTTGGAAGACCTGCATATTATTGATCTCCTGACTGTTTCTAATAATGTATGTACTCTACCAGAAAACTAAAAACCATTATACTAACATGTGGATTAATAATATCAAGAGGCCTGATGCCAAACTCAGATCTTACAGTTACTTAAAAGTGATATTAGTCCAGCTAAATGCCTACTGTTAAATAATAGACAAGATATTTAATTACTTTCTCAATTGAGACTTAGTTGTCACAAACTCAAAATAGAAGTAGGCAGACATAAAAGACCTAAAATCCCATAGAGAACAGGATTTGTGATATTATGTATGCTCAATTTACAAAGGAAATCCCCACTTTTCAGTCTGAAAACAATATCAACAAGTTTATTATTCTTATTAATACTAACCATCCTAAACTAATTAGACATGTGACACGGTATCTAAAAGTGTGTTTTGAAAAACACAAACTACATTAATTTTTCACTACCTAATCTTAAGTTATTTTAACGTTTTGTTTTTTACTTACCTTTTTACCTTACCTTTTATTACTTTTAGCCAAAAATGAATTTGTAATCTCATTATGGTGTAATAAAACTGTATTATTATTATACAAAAATTAAGACACATAATACAAAATCTACTAATTTGTCAGTCACCTCATTACTTAAAAGAATCTTTCTATCCAAAGTCTGGACTATCTTTATATTACAAAACCTCATACATGTTAGTGGAGGATCACCATAATAACTAACTAACTATATAAAAGATAATACTATAATTTGGTTATTCATCAACCTCATCTAGCATTGGCTCATGATGGGTGTGTTTATTCATACATCCATCTGCCGCCTTGCAGATGCATTCGTCTGTACATGGCATACTATTCTTTGCACAATTGCAAATGTTACTACATTGTCTTGAATCATCCACGGCGTGAGCACAGAAGATCATCTAATATTTCTGCAGATGTTGGGCTATCAAATAACTTCACCTTCAATTCACCACCCTCTCTTTGCCACCCATTTCCATCTGGTGAAGACACATCTGGTTTGCCAACATGCCAGCATCCAAATTCTGGTCTGAAATGACGCTCTCTTGAGGTGTTGATGAAAGCTAGGTTCTGATGGTGGTAGTTCATGCAATGACACATTTTTGTCAGCCAGACGCACTCTCAGAAGATTTAAGTTACCATGTTTTACTTTATACACCACCTTTGGATCATATAGAGCAGCAACAAACTGCCTGGCTGCGTGTTTGGCTTGTACTGTGTCACTGGTACCCAAATTACCACGGAATGGAATTGAACCTTTTTTCTCCAATGACTCAAAAGTTTTCCACATTTTCTTTTTTCCTATTCCACATAATGATGAGACGGTATCATATCCCGTCAAGACATGCATGGCAGGAAGCAGACTAGGAACCATAGGGCCCAATTTATTGCATATGTTGTGAACAGCATGTGGCAATGGAGATTTGCAATGCAGTAACTTTTCCTGTTTCTATCCAGAAAGACGATGTACTTTGCATCTGAGTATAATAGTGTACAGCGATCACTAGGACATCTGTGTCAGCTGACTTCACGACAATGCTTCCTTGGATATTGGCAGCAGAAAATTCTTCATCTGCCTTCATAGCATGAAACATCATACTTGTATCAGCCTCCTTGTGCGAACAGAAGAAATTCTCCACTGGTGTTACATCTTGACTAGAGATACAAACAGTTTTCCCCCCATCACTAAACCCACCTGCAAGATTCCTTGGTTCTTGGTGTACAGCTAGTTCTGGTGTTCTTGGTGCATATTCAGTTATGTACTTGCACAGGAAGTCAGTCAATGCAGCTTTATTTGATGAGAGTGCCATAAACTTTGGCCATGGTGGAAGTGGGCGTCCAGCCATCACCTGATATTGCTTTGCTTCACCTGTTGTTGCTAACCTTCTGCTCCGTTCCTCTACTTTGATTGAGTTTTTATATTCATATTGATCAAACACGTCTATTACAGTGGTTCTTTTCTGTATGCAATTCAACAACTGATTCATATATCTGCTAGCATGGTCACCAAATGTGTTGATGCCAC